GTCTATTTCAGCAACTAAACGTGGTGTAATCAATGGAATAACAAACGAAGGCGTCAAGGCAACAATCAAAGATGTTTTGTATAGTCCAGAAGTACCTTACAATCTGTTGTCCGTTGCCAAACTTCAAAAATCAGGCATGATTGTTTTATTTGATCAACATGGAGTTAAGATAAGTAAAAATGGTATAGTCATCATGCAAGGTAAGACATTAAATAATTTGACACAAATTGAATTTGTAGTTGATAATTTCGAAATCAATTCTGTTGTTAAAATTGATAATAAGAAAACAAATTATGATATTTGGCATGAGAGATTAGGTCATATAAGTAGAGATAAATTCATTAAATTAAAGACTTATAATATGATAGAAGATATAGGAGAAATAATAAAAATTAATCCTAATGATAAAATATGTGAAACATGCATTCAAGGGAAACAAACTCGATTACCGTTTAATAATACTAAAAATAAAGAACATGTAAGAAGACCATTGTTTATTGTACATTCGGATGTCTGTGGTCCAATCACTCCAACCGCATTAAATGATAAAAATTATTTTGTTTTGTTTTTAGATCATTATACTCATTACTGTGTAGTTTATTTGCTTAAACATAAATCAGATGTATTTTCAGCATTTCAAGATTTTGTAGCTAAAAGTGAAGCTCATTTTAATCTCAAATTAGTTTATTTATATATAGATAATGGTAGAGAATATTTATCTAACGAAATGAAAAGTTATTGTAAAAACAAGGGTATCACTTATCATTTGACGATTCCACGAACACCTCAATTGAATGGTGCTGCTGAACGTATGATAAGAACAATTACAGAAAAAGCTCGGTCAATTATAGCTGGGTCTTATTTAAATAAAATTTTCTGGGGTGATGCAGTTTTAACAGCAACTTATTTAATTAATATTATTCCTACTAGAGCATTAAAGGTAATGAAAACTCCTTATGAGTTATGGCATAATAAGAAACCTACATTTAAATATTTGAAAGTATTCGGTTCTACTGTATATGTACATGATAAAATTAATAAAAGTAAATTCGATAGTAAGTCTTGGAAGGGCATACTGGTTGGTTATGAACCAAATGGTTATAGAGTATGGAATCCAAAACTGAATAAATATGCCATTGTGAGGGATGTTATCGTGGACGAGGCAAATTTTATGATGTCTCGGCCAGGTATGAACCCTAAAGATTCCATACGTGAAACTGATTCTTTTGATGAATTAGTAATTGAAAATAATGGCTTGAAGACATTATCAAATGATAATGTTCTTAATAAATCCGATATTGATAAATCAGTTGGTTTTGATAAATCTAGTAATAGTAAACCAGCTGATTTTGATAATTCTGATACTGAGAGATCAGATAGTTTTTACAAATCTGGTAATAATAAACCAGATAGTTTTAATATATCTGATAATGAAAAATCAGATGTGAACCATGAACCTAGTTACAAACTTCCAAGATTAGAAAATGAAAATGATTCTGGGATTCATTGTCGAAGGAGTGAGAGGATCAAACATCTTCCTAAAATTTCGTATGATGAAACGAGTAGTCCTGAAGAATGTATGTTATCTATTCAAGTAATAATGAATGATATTCCTAATTCGTTTGATAAAATTAAAAATAGGAAAGATAGGATTAAATGGGAGCAGGCTATAAAAAGTGAACTTGATTCTCATAATATTAACAATACTTGGACATTAGTACCAAAACCAAATGATAAAAATATTATAGACTGTAAATGGATATTTACAATTAAAAAGGATGAGTTTGGAAATCTACATAAATATAAAGCTCGTCTAGTAGCTAGAGGTTTTAGTCAGGAATACATGGTAGACTATGATGAGACTTTTGCTCCGGTAGCTAGAATAGCTAGTTTTAGATTTATTGTTGCATTTGCTAATCAGAATAATTTGTTATTACACCATATGGATGTGAAGACAGCATTTTTAAATGGTAAACTAAAAGAAGAAATTTTTATGAAAGTACCTGAGGGAGTACAATGTAAAAAAGGTCAGGTCTGTAAATTAAATAAAGCACTGTATGGTTTGAAACAAGCAGCTCGATGCTGGTTTGAGGTTTTTGAATTAACATTAAAAGAAGTGGATTTTCAAACTTCTCCAGTAGATAGATGTATTTATATTTTAGATTTAGGTGATATTATAAAGAATATTTATGTAGTTTTATACGTTGATGATCTTGTTATTGCTACTCATAATATAAATACTATGAATAATTTTAAAGAATATTTAAAGTGTAAGTTTCAAATGGTAGATTTAAAAGAAATAAAATTATTTTTAGGTATACGAGTTATTAGAGATGATACTATTATAACATTAGATCAAAATATATATATAAAATCAATTTTAGAAAAATTTAAAATGCAAGATTGTAATCCAGTAAATACACCTCTTGAATCTAAAATTAATTATATAGGTTTAAACTCAGATGAAGATTGTAATAAGCCATGCCGAAGTGTTATTGGTTGTTTAATGTACTTAATGATTTGTACTCGTCCAGATTTAAGTTTTGCTGTTAATATTGTTAGTAGATATATGAATAAAAATAATATTACATTATGGCAGTATTTGAAAAGAATTCTTAGATATTTAAAAGGTACTAGTAATATAAAATTAACATATGAACAAAGAAATTACGAGAATATAATAAGTGGATATGTCGATGCAGATTGGGCAGATGATAAAATTGACAGGAAAAGCACAACAGGATATTTATATAAAATGTATAATAGTTGTACTATTTGTTGGGCTACGAAACGTCAAGCCTCTGTAGCAGGTTCTACATCAGAAGCTGAATATATGGCTCTGCATGAAGCTGCACGAGAGGCTATGTGGCTCAAATCATTAGCAGAAAGTATAAAAATTATTATATCAGGTCCTATAATTATATATGAAGATAATAATGGTTGCATAAGTATCGCGAAGAATCCATCAAGTCACAAGAGATCGAAAAATATTGATATTAAATATCATTATTCTCGTGACAAAGTAGAAAAGGGACTAATTAAATTGGTTTATATGCCCACAGATCGACAGATAGCTGATACATTAACAAAATCTCTACCAGGAGTCAAATTTGTGGAATTTAGAACACAAATGGGTTTAATGTAGTTATAAGTTTTTTTTATTGTTGTTACTGATCTGGTAAGGTTTTCCCATACGATGATGGGTTTTCCCTTTACCCATAAGCAACAAATGTTGGATCAGATAGAGATATAAAATAAGAGGATTGCATAAAGAGAAGTCATTACAGTTTCATTTGTTAACAGTATTGTAAGCAATATTCATATTATTTAATCATTAAAACTAAGATTTAGAAAATATTGTTATTAAGAATGTATTTGAATTTATTTTGTAAGGGATTCATTTTTGAGGGGGCGTGTTGAATTCTCTGAACAAAAATGAATCTTATTTAGTTAATATTTTGTTTATTTTATTTCATAGTTTTTTAAATATTCAACTTATGGTTAAACTCAACACTTAGTTATAAACATATTTTTAAAGAAAAGAACCAAGGCCCAACCCTGTTTTATGACTTCAGACACTTGGGTCATACAAAGGACTCTTTCTTTATTAAGTTTTATTTGGTACTCTATCTTCAGAGTATTGCATGTGTTTTATTTATTATAACCATCTGTAATGTTTAAACAAATAGAGAAGAGGCTTAGATCTCTTTGTCTAAATAATACTTCAGTTTAAAGTCTTTAGTTAGTTCTGTACGACTATCTGTAATGTAAAGACGTTTTCTCTAAATGCAATCCGTGATAATAATAAAGAATTAAGTTATAATTTTTGAAAATAGAAAATCAACTTGTACTTGATTATTTCACAAATACCCATCCGAACTTCCAATAATTTTAATGCAGATAAGTGTGTCAAATACGACGTCACCCATTTGATTAACATTGTAGTCACTTTTAATGCATTTCTAAGTGTGTAAAAAGTGACTGCAATGTTAATCAAATGGGTGACGTCATATTTACCACACTTATCCGCATTAAAATAATGCATTTTGGGAAACTGGGATTTACGGTGTAGTTTTAACAAAATTACCTTCAGTTAACTAATGAAATACATGATTTTTTTTTTTTGAATGAGTGAAAGAATTAATTTAGACTATTCGATAAAATATTTTATTGATATGAATAATTTGATTTCTCAATGCGGCTGACAGAGTACCGGATGTTAATGGTACAAAGTGGTAATGAATAAATAAGGGATATTTTATGGAGAACTTTGGTGAAAAAATAATGTCTTTGCTCCAGATTTGATTCCTATTGTGTAGTGAGATAAATGAAATTCTCGCTTAAGTTTAATAATTTATAATAAATAATCAATTTATTCTCAGCACGTCTGATTGCCGAGAACCTGTGAATACGTGCGTATATTCACGCTCAAGGAGATTGATAAAGTGTAGACAACTGAGTGCAATTACCGATACGGTACGTGAGTATATAGAATAATATTTCTAAGATTTTTGTGCGCTGATCATAATCGCACGAGACTTATCGATCTCACTTTTTAGTTATTGCTTAAGCAGTATTATAAAGTAGATATGTACAAATGTAAAATTGAAAGAAAAGAAAGACAATGTTTTTCCCTGATTATAGTTGTAAAAATGAGTTTATATGTTTGCTGAGAAATATTTTTCGATTGCAAAACTTGTCGACAACGTGATTCGCGAAAGTGTAATGGACTCCTTAAATGTATTTGAAGAGCATAGAAAATATCGCAAATGAGAGTAGACAAGGCAATAAGAAATTTTCAAGCATCTATATATACATCTATATAGTAGATAAACTGAAATGTCTAGTGAAAAAGTTGTTACGTCTCGATGAGTTTCAACGCGTATCTCCACGCTCGTCTTGTCAAAGACTTCTTCCTGGCTCAGTTCGTCGTTAACGTTTGAGGTTCTGGTGCCGCTTTGGGTTGAAAAAATAAAATAAAATCAAGTTGAAACACTCACCATAATGCTTCCTGTACAATTCGCAACACTCTTCCCTCGAGAATTGATCTCTTTCATCGTCAATCAGTTCCAATCACCTGTAACATGACGCAAAATGTTTCTTCGATTATAATAAATCTCGAAGGTCGACATAATTAAATTAATTTATTGCTCAAGCACTATTTAATTATAGATTATTACAAATTAATATATTAATGTATAAGAATAATTGTGTTATGTAATGAATTTGGTAATGTCAAGAAGTCACTAAATGAAGAAAAAGAAAAAAAACTTTCGATTTGTCGTGATAGCATAACAAAAGAACACATCGTATAATTACGAAATATAATTGCCCAGAGCGGTTACGAAAAATATTTTATAGAAAGAAATCAATTAATCTCCCAAGTTATCCAAAACGTGCGTCGTTCAATCGTCTTTTTCTCGTCTGATGCATTCGTCGACTATTATACGATTACCATCACATTGACAGACATCAAAATTAGCCGGTTTACTTTCTACCCTGAATACCTGCGTATAAGTAGCGTCTCTCACGATGGAGCCTTGGGTGGAGCAATTGCGTTCTCGGTCTGCAGATGATAATTTGTCAGAATAAAAATTCTCAATGACTCTCACTTTCAACAATGTAATGTTCTGATGCATTGATATTTATCAAAACATTATTTTATTATTTTTTTCATAATTAACACTACCTTCGTGGTGTGCATTAATTAATTATTCCAATTCGTATTTTTCATTGTACCTACATGTAAAAGTTCACATGGAACTCGGCTTGGTATTATGCTGTGTGCTGAGTGTAAGTGAGCGATATAATTATGTAATTTTATAAAAATTACTGCACTTTGAATTTATGAGGTACAATTATTAGAAAGATGTCTCTTTCTCTACATTCATCAATCTTTTTTTATTTAATTCTACTGAAAATTTATTTTATTTGATTACATAAAATGGAATTGTGAAAATAAAATTTATACTTATTTGTAATTCTATTTTTCATTATTTTATTACACTTTAAGAATTTCTGTTTTCTTTTTTTTTTTTTTAATAAAAATGATCGTAAAGAAGTATCATCAGCAACAGTTGTAATTTGATTATCTTTATTGACGAATAAATTTCTTGAAATTATTTATTAATGTTTAATAAATGTCAAATTTAGACATGGATGATCGAATAGACGTTCATTAACCATTTAGTAATATTTATTACCAGTTAATGAATTTATTGACTATTAACAAATAATCATTCGCGTCTAACATACTTCTTAATTGTAGCTATAGAAAATATCTATGCCTACTCAAAGTAAGTCTCTTCTTTTTACAGAGACTTACAGCGTAAATCAATATGATAACTCAAGTACTCTAAGCATTGAATAATTTACCAATCGTCACACTATAATTTCATTAAATCAAAAATAAAAACCAATGTTTGTGTTCTTTAACCCTTCATATCTCCTACAAACCAGACAGTCAACAAAATTTTTTTAATAGTTAACACCCTCTATAAGTCAGACACAAGGTATTTGAGTGATTAAAGATATTTATTTTACTTTCCACTTGTTTATGCCGTTTAACATTATAAACACTTTAAGTGTTTAATTTTTGAACACTTGAATTTGCCGTGATAACAGCAATAATTTCAAGTGTAATGGTTTTAGAAATGCAAATTAGTGCATTTACAATATTTCGCATTGATTTTTACTGATTTTTTTCAGTGAGTAAATTGAACTTTTTTAGAATTTAAATTTTTCGATTGGTTTGTCGTCAATGTAGACAAAGTGCTGATGAAGTCTAAAACATTACAGAAATTTTTTTAATGTGATTACCTCTACTATCCATCCGTGAATATGAAATGAAATAAAACATATCTTTTGATATCTTATTAACATTTGTTTTACACTCATCGAATCCCTAAGTATTCTCCGCGTTTAAAAGAGCTATTAATTATCCGGCTCTTGACTGAGAAGTCATTTCAATATTTGCGTATAACTTGTGCCCACTCAACATTGAAAAAAAGGAATATATAAATGAAGCACACGCTAACGTAAATAAATAGCCAGTAATGGTCAAGCTATTTTATTATCTTTATATATGATTGAATCCATACTGCGTCAAGGTCGATTACAATCTGCAACTGTGAAATATTATTCCATTGTACATATTCATTTTTTTTATTCTCTTTCATATCGCAATATTCTCAAGCGCTTTACGATTTTCCGTTTAACGCCTTGAGGGCGCGATTCGCTGGAGATAATAAAGATTCGAAAGAGATCGGAATCCTTTAGTGAGATTAATTATTAACAATATTGACTCTTAAACGAGTTGTTTTCACTGTAGTCAATATACACCGACTTGTAATTTGCCAATAAAAAATTTAAAAATCAGCTGTGAATGTAAACAATTTATCTTTCATCTTAATAATATTTACTATAATATCCATTCTCCTGTTATGTTCAGTCTTATTCATTTCACTTATAAATTGAAAGAAAAAAAAAAACGTGCAAATGCAATTTAGTAGAACATTGAAATTGACACGGAGGAATGGTGTTACTAGTAAATAAATGGACTGTTAACTTCCGGCTGAAGAATCTGAGGGATGCTGGAGCTCCATGTACGCGTGCCTTGACATCCGTTATACATTCACTATTGCATCACAAGCGCCAGGATACCTTTTACAGCGTATTCTTTCTACCTCATGCGGTGCGAATTCTTCCATGTGGTGAACACACCTTAGTACACACCCTCGCTATTCCAACGTTTAAATAAGAACTATACTGAATTTCCCCGTGGGTTTAATACAATTGACTTGGGGATTTATTAGATTCATTAATTGAATAAAGACTTTTTTAATACTACCTCATGAGCATTTATTTTACCCCTTGCATGTTGGTTATAATATTTCATCTTTGGTGTAAAGCACCGTAGATTTACTTCACTTTTAATTTTGCATCTCTTTAATTCTCGCCCCCTCAGGCCCACAATATAAATAAGGTGAGCGTGTGAGAAACTGGTTTGGACCAGGTCCATTAGTAGTAACGCCGTGTCTATCAAATTAACACAATTAATTAATGACTTCGACAGTCTGTCAATTGTTTTGTGATTTTATGTTTAAACAAATTAATTTCAAAGGATATTATTTTTCATTTTTCTAGAATACTTGGAATTCTTCTCGGATTATTTTTGAATATCTTATTGAATAAAGTGACTTATTAAATCAATAAATGCTATTCTGTAATTTTCATTTATTGAATTTAATTCATTTTATTTTATTGTCTTAACTTTAATGGTTAACTTTGTATGTTAAATTGTTAAAATGTTATTTAAAAGTTATTTATCGAATTTATAGTATGTATTAATTTTATAAATGTCAGTAAGATTGAACAAAATGATAATCAAGTGTGCACAATAAAAATTTTCTTCGGTAATAGAAATGATAAAGATACTTTAATAAAACATATCACATAACCTGTTGCTAAAAGTCTTGTAACTTATGCTGACTGTCAGAAAGGTTATTCTAATCGCATTTAAATATTGAGACAATAATAAAGAGATAATTAAGTGGGAGGAGAATTCAAAATGATTTCAAATTAAAATAATAAATTAATAATTTTTTATCAAAGAAAAAAAATGCATAATAATTATTGAAGTAAATGAAGAATCATCAAACTCCTAAAATGTCAATTCTCCAACTTTCTTTTGCTCTTCATCCTATTAAATCTTGCTAAGAAAAAATAAATCAATCACAAAGTTATTTAGAAATCAGCAACAATTAACTGACATTCATTCTCTAGTGTTTAATAAAAAATCACTTCCATATCGAACGAAAAAGAAAGTGAAACAATATGAATAACACATAATAAAACGTTTTTGTACAAAAGAAGGCATGAAAATAATTTTACTGCGGTAGGTAAAGATTGCATCGTAACCAGATATTCTGTATAAACAACGGGGAAATTAGATCTAGTGTATGCGGAAAGACCGAGAGAGTATACGTTGATACAACAACTGGACCGATGGTTCTAATGCTTGGTATAGTTTTAGCTCCACCCCATAAATCGGTTAACTCAAGAATCTGTCTACGAGCACCAAATGTAGCAAAACATCGTGTTAGACGATACTGTGTTAACCAGATTCTAAATAAATTACTCGATACATACACTCAAGTATTCATGCAACCCTAGAATAATCAAGTGTTTAAACGATCGTAGCAAGTCTTTCAGGCTTTTTATCATTAAGTCAAGGTGTGAATTCCTCAATTAACGAATGAAAGTTGCTATTTTTTTTTCAAGTCTTTTGAGAACTATTGCTTAATAATTACATACCAGATCATTTAACGTGACATTTCAGCCGAGTGTGACAATTAAATAGAAAATTGCTTTAATATTTTTTCGTAGCAATTTTTTTATATTAATTGACCGATTCATTAATCAATTAGCCCATTTATTAATGTTATTTTTACTTTGATTTACAGGAGATGATTGAAGGACGATTAAATGGCAAATATATTTACCTGATTCGTTCTTGTTATTATCCAATTACCTTCATCATCAATGCTATCACAATCTACCCTTATTATTGATAAATAAATATACGATCTAGGGATCTCGATTGAATTTTTTGACATTGATGGACACGATAATTGACAGTTTGACTGTATTATTGAGAGGCGAGGCAACATATTTTCTGTTTCAAACGCGTCGTTAGGACGTTCTCGCAAGCCCGGATGCCAGACATTAGAAAGTATCCTTTAGCCTAGAGTCACACTTATTTTGCTTCGTTTATGTATCAACAAAACTAGAGGGTATTAAGAAATTATGTTGATAGAAATAACGAACTCTGAAAAAATAACTTAATCAATGGCCGATTGAATTTGATGAAAAAAGAGGATTTTTTGTGGTCTATCTTGACGTGATGTGTCAAGTAAAACCGGTGTAAAGAACTCCAATCAAGTGTACACTATAGGTATATCGGAAAGTAGATTTGTCATCCCACGTATAGCCTATACACAGCCAGAACGGATCGGATGACTTTTTTTTTATCTTCGTTGGCGTTATTATACCACGAGAGTGCAGTGGCCACTTGTC